CTCTGAGTCTTTCTCTGTAGCTTCCAAAGTGTAGATCTGACCATCTCACTTCCCAACTCAATAAACTCCAATGGTTTCTTTTTCACTCTAGGATAAAATCTTATTTCATTTTTAACTCATCCTTCCCTTTCTCTAATCCTCAACCATTTCCTATCTACTAGTACTGTCTCTGCTGCATACAAACTCCCGAGTCTCTTCCCTCCTTTAAAAATCCCCACTGTAATCCCACGTTCTCATCTGCCACTATCCTATTTATTTCCTTCTTTGCTCAGCTAAACTCCTCAAAAAATGGCTAACCTAGGTATCTCTACTTCCTCTCCTCTTATCTTGCTGTAAGTCTTTTGTAATCTGGCTACCAGGTTCATTACTCAACTAAAACTACTCTCTCCAAAGTTGCTAATGACTCCTTTAAAAAAAAGTACTTTTTTTTCAATTACATATAAAAACTTTTTAGCATTCATTTAAAAAAATTGAGTTCTAAATTCTTGTCCTCTCTCCTTCCTCTCTCCGTACATTGAGAAGGTCAGCAATTTTATATAGTTTATACATCTGCAGTCATGCAAAACATATTTATACATTAGTCATATTGTGAAAGAAAACACAGGTACCCCTCCTCCACAAAAAGAAAGTTTAAAAAAAAAGTATGCTTCTATCTGCATTCAGACTCCCTCAGTTCTTTCTCCAGAGATGAGTAGTATTTTTCATTATAAGTCCTTCAGAATTGTCTTGGATCATTATATCTCTGAGAATGTCTAAGTCATTCACAGTTTATCATTGTATAAAATTACTGTTGCTGTGTAAACTGTTCTTCTGGTTCTGCTCACTTTACTTTGCATCAGTTCATGTAAGTATTTCCAGGTTTTTCTTAAAGCATCCTGCTCATCATTTCTTATAACACAATAGTATTCCATCACAATCATATACCACAACTTGTTCAGCGATTCCCCAATTGATGGGCATCCCTTCAATGTCCAATTCTTTGCCACCACATAAAGAGTTGCAATAAATATTTTTGTACATGTAGGTCTTTTCCCCCTTTTGATGATCTCTTGGGATGCAGATCTAGTAGTGGTGTTTCTGGGTCAAAGGGTATGCATGGTTTTATAGCCCTTTGGGCATAATTGCAAATTGCTATCCAGAATGGTTGGATCAGTTCTCAACTCCACCAACAATGCATTAGTGTCCCAATTTTCCCAGTTCCCCTCCAACATTTGTCATTTTCCTTTTCTGTCATATTAGCCAATCTGATAGGGATGAGGTGTTACCTCAGAGTTGTTTTAATTTCCATTTCTTAATCAATAGTGATTGAGAACATTTTATATGACTATTGATAGCTTTGATTTCTTCATCTGAAAACTGCCTGTTCATATCCTTTGACTATTTATCAATTGGGGAATGACTTGTATTCTTATAAATTTGACTCAGTTTCCTGTATATTTGAGAAATGAGACTTTTATCAGAGAAAATTGTTTTTTATGTTTTTCTTGAATCTTATATTTGAAAATCACATTTTCTCTTCAGCTGTAGTCTTTTCATCAGGGATGTTGGAAAGTCCTCTATTTCATTGAATGACTATTTTTCCCCTGAATGATTTTACTCAGTTTTGCTGGTTAGGTGATTCTTGGTTGTAATCCTAGCTCCTTTGCCCTCTCATCCTTTAATGTAGAAGCTGATAAATCTTGTGTTATCCTGACTGTGGTTTCATGATGTTTGAATTGTTTCTTTCTGGCTGCTTGTAATGTTTTTTTTTTTCTTAACTTGGGAGATCCGGAATTTGGCTATAATATTCCTAGCAGTTTTCATTTTGGGATCTCCTTCAGGAGGTGATTAGTGGATTCTTTCAATTTCTGTTTTATGCTTGGGTTCTAGGATATCAAAGGTTCATTTTTTGTCCTGGTCTTCAGGTAGTCCAGTAATTCTTACATTATTTCTCCTTAATTTATTTTCTAGGTCAGTTGTTTTTCCAATTAGATATTTCACATTTTCTTCTATTTTTTCATTCTTTTGACCCTGTTTGTTTCTTGATGTCTTATAGAATTATTAGCCTCTACTTGCCCAATTCTAATTTGTAAGGAATTATTTTACTCAGTGAGTTTTTGTATCTCCTTTTGCATTTGGCCAACTCTGTTTTTAAGGAGTATTTTTTTTATTCATTAAATTTTTGTACATCTTTTGTCATTTGACCAATTCTGCTTTCTAAGGAGTTCTATTTAGTCCATTTTTGCGTCCCTTTTTACCATTTATACTTTTCTAGTTTTTTTAAGTGTTATTTTCTTCAGTATTTTTGTGCCTCTTAAATTTACCAAGCTGTTGACTTTTTTCATGATTATTCTTGAATTACTTTCATTTCTTTTTCTACTTTTTCTTTTCTCTCTCTTATCTGAGTTTTAAAATCCTTTCTTGAGCTTTTCTAGAAATTATTTTGGGGCCTGAGACCAATTAATGTTTTTCTTTGAGGCTTTGGATGTAGCAGATTGGACTTTGTTGTCTTCTGAGTCTATGTTTTGATCTTCCCTGTCACCATAGTAACTTTCTATGGTAAGGTTCTTTTGATATTATTTGCTCGGTTTTCCAGCCTATTTCTTGACTTTTAACTTTATGTTAAAGTTGGGCTCTGCCCCTGGGTTGGAGGGGGCACTATCCCAAGCTTCAGGTTTTTTGTGCTGCTATTTTCAGAGATAATTCTGGGGGTCTGTAAGTTTTCAGTTCTTCCAAGGTGGTATGATCTAAGGAGAAGTGTGGTTACTGAACTCCTCTCCATTGTTCTGGTCCATGAATGACCACAAGCACTCTTTTCTGCCTTAGATTTGTGATCAGGGACCCTGCTACCCTGTATGTGCAGGATCTAGTGTTCTAGTGTGCCTCTTCATCCTGGACTGCCACTTGGAATTGAGTATGAGCAATGCAACAGAGTCATGCACCCAGTGGCAGCAAAGAGTCCCCTGTAATTTCCTTCTGAACAGTTGTTTTACTTCTTATCATCTGTGAGCTGAGAGCTCTAGAAGTACCCCTGCTTCTTTTTTTTAGTCACCGCCAAAGCCTACTGCTGGCTTGCTGGTTGTGACCTGCTTGGGAATGTGCTCTACTTTCACCCGAAGGTGACAGACCTTTCCTGTCAACCTTCTAAGTTGTCTTGGGCTGGAAAATTGTTTTCACTTGTCCTTTTGTTAGTTCTACTACTCCAGAATTGGTCTTGAGGCATGATGATAACATTGTTTAGAAGGGAATTTGGGAAAGCTCAAACAAGTTCCTGCTTTTACTGTGCCATCTTCACCAATGATCTCTAAATCATCAAGTCTAATGATATCTTCTCAATTCTCATGCTTTCTGACCTCTCTGAAGCCTTCGAATATAGTTGGTCACCTTCTTCGGAATATCTTCTCCTCTCTAAGTTTTTGTGAATTTCTCTCTCCTGTTCTCATCTTATTACTTCTTAGTTTCTTTTGCTGGATCATTATCCATGTCACATTTACTGGCTATCAATACGTTTGGTTCAGGATTCTCTTGCCTTTTCTAGTATGTCTCAAGTGGTAACTTATTAGTTCTATGAGTTGATGCACTATGAGAAGGTTACTGGATTCATACTTCTAGCCCTGGCTCTCTTCTAAAGTCCAGTCCCCTACCATGAACTGCCTATTACATATTTCAAATTGGATATTACATGGGTGACTCAAAATGAACATGTCCCAAACTGGACTTGCTATCCTTCCCTTCAAACCCATCCCATTTCAAAAGGTACATTTGACTAATGAGGATCCGATCATCTACTTATTGTGGTTTAAAACCTCAATCACTTCATATGTACCACCATGTCTTGTTATTTCATTCTCCACAAAACTGCCTTCTCTATACTTACGTAAGTAACTACTTTGTTTTCAGTCTTTAGCATCTCTTGCCTGGATTATTGCAATAGTCTTCTAATTTTACATCTTCCTTCAAGATTTTTCATTCAAATTCATTCTCCATATATCTGCCTAAATGATTTTTCCTAAGGTACAGATCTGACTATGTTGTTTCCTTTACCTTCTAGAACTAAATAGAAATTCCCCTCTATGATACTGAAAACTCTTCCTTACTTAGTCCCTTCCTACATTTCCAGTCTTCTTATGCCTTAATCCCTTCCATGCATTCTACATGCCAGTCACATTGGCCTATTTGCTGTTCTCTACAAATAACTCTTCAGCTCCCCTCTCTGCCTGGTGTGCTAAAAGAAAACCTGCACCATTGCCTTTAAGGTCTATGATGTACCTCAAAGCCCAAAATCAAAGTCCAACTTATTTAACATCCCCAGGAGTAAATATAAGGGTCTTAGTGGGAATTAAGGAATTTCCAGTTGCAGTCATTTTGCTTTCCTTTGTGAATCCAACTCCTTTCAAGCGCATTAGATCCTTAGAGGAGGGAACATCCTTTGCTCCAGGGTTTTTTATTGATCTTATGAACATTTCACATAGAAAGGTTTTAACTCTTTCCTAAGCCTAGGACAGCTATTCTGCAAGATCTTGAATTCCATGCAGGTTTTAGTTTAGTCTGTTTTCTAAGCTTTTCAACCAAATGATGAGTGGGGCTCAGAAGGCATAAACATTGACAGCAAAACAGTTTGGCTCCTATTTCCCAAAGTCATCCTCCTCAGCAGAATTTAATTATCATGAGGACATAGAAGGAAAGATACAGTCACTAAGATAATCAAATTCCAAACCATAACCATCCTGTATATTGTTTTTTAGAACCTAAGGGAGCTAATTAAATGACATGCAACTGGATTTCTCTCATACTGACCAATTCAGAATTTGTCTAGCAAAAGACTGATTTTATCCAGCATGATTTAACTCCTTCATCATCATAATTCAATAAAATTCATTTTTAAGAAATTTAACATTAAACAAAATACTTTACCTTGTTTTTTTAGCATATTGTCCAAAATAAGATCTCGATTCATAGAACACTTATTATTTGAATAGAAACAACCTTTGATTAAAAAAAAAATCTGTGTCATTTTAAAGGTCATGGGCAGTGTAACTGTGGAAGATGTGACTGTAAAATAGGCTGGTCTGGGAAAAAGTGTGAGCATCCCCTTTCCTGCTCATTATCTGCTGAGGATAGCATCAAGAAGTGCCAAGGAAGTTCCAATTTGCCCTGCTCTGGAAGAGGTAAGTAAAGTCATCAAAGCTTTCTTTAAGTCCTTTTCATTCTATGCATGTGTGTATGATTGTATATATAAATATCTGTTTGTGTACATATATGTGGAGAGGGAGAGACAAAGAGAGAGGGAAAGGACACACATGCATACACACACATATACACATACACATAGATATAGATTGCTTCCTTCAAAAGCAGGTGATCTACCTTGTTAATTCATCACATAATGGCACTCAATCACATTCCTATACCACAACTTTTCAAACATTTTTCAATTTTGGATATCTTAGTTTCCAGTTTTTTTTTTTTGTCTTTTTTTCCACCACAAAAAGAGTTTCTATAAATGTTTTTATACATAAAAGACTCTTCTTTCTTTTTTTCTCTTTTGAATGTAAGTCTAGCAGTGGTATAGCTGGGCCAAAGGGCTCTGTCTGAAAGGAGATTTGCATTTTCAGAACTAATAAAGAGTAGCATCTATATGATTGAGAACACATGGGGGGGACACACTCTTCAACTATACTTTGACCCTCTTCCTGTTCTCTTTGTTTTTCAACCCAATCTTGTATGTTGCTGCCTCTCCAGGCCATTCTTCCCTTTGGTTTCTGACATATTTCATTCACTTTTGTTTCGTATGATTGCTTGTGTGAAGGATTTTTAAAGTTCATGTAAGATCAATTTTGATGGTGATAGATGTGTGCTCTACAGCCAGAGCACATGAATGACAGCACCTAATTGTCCCAGTGACATTTCTGAGACCTTAGAACGTTGCTTGTGGAGCTTATTGTCTTTGGCAAAAAAGCTTTGTCTGAAACAGATATTTATGAATTGGCATCTGCTGTAGGGGAGAGCATGCAGTCTCAGGTGTGTTCCCAGCATTGTATCAACAGAAATTGGAGGCCAGAGAAAAATCCATCCAGGAAGAAAACTGGTTCCATTCTTTTTGATTTATCAAAGTGTGAAATGTGGTTTCATCTCTCAGATGAGAATAGAAAAGCAAATGTGAAATGGACTTTTGTGGCGATGAGTAACTGAAGTTATTACAAATCTTACCCACTGAAGTTGTTGATAGGGAAAGAAGGAAAGCTATCCTTTACCTCTATGGATGACCTTCAATTTACTGTCATTTTTATCTGGGTTTCTTTATTAGTATTATTTATGCTAGAATGCTCAAAAGCTCAATATACTTTCTGTGCTTAATAGTCCCACCATAATTTCCCCATACTCAAATTTATACCAAGAGCATTAACCATAGCATTGTTTCCATGCACACAAAATTAGCATTCTTTCATAGAAACAAATAACTAAATATAGATTTTAATCAGTCTACTATTTTACCTTTGTTTTTCCAATGCAATCTCAGTAGATTTGTTGGTTGGGCTGCTATTTATAAAGGCAAAATTTATTTATTAGTGGCAGGAGAAAATGACTAATAGGAAGCTTGTTCCTTTAAAAGTATTTGGCATCACTTTATTATGAACTTAGAAACTTGGGGTGGGGGGGACGTAACTCATTTTGCTTCAGAGTATGGCTTGATTCCCATGAAAATTCTGTTCTCCTAAGGTTGCTTTTCATATATGGTGATGGGAGAAGAATATGGAAATAGTGACCTCTAATTGGGTGAGGGTGAGAAATGACTGGTGGAGAGGCAATGTGTTCACCTGGTATACTTGAGCTGTCAGGAGAGAGTGAAGAACACTTCAAGCATTTTGGGTAGACCTCCATGTGGTGAATTTATTGGAGGATTTTAATAAAATCTCACAGAATGGGCATGGCTGGGTTGAGCTCTCTATCATGGGAGGGTACTTCCAAAGCAATGAGATCACAGAGCAATCTGAGTATTTTAGACCTCTAAAGAGAAATGGTCTGAGTACAAAAGACTTGTAAAGAAAAGAGCAGTCCAATATGAAAATGCGTTTACTAGGAATGTATATGTAGAACCAATTCAGATTGTATACCATCTTGGGGAGGGAGGTGGGAAGGGAGGGGGAGAAAATGTGGAACTCAAAATTTGGAAGTGAATGTTGAAAACTAAAAATAAATTAATTAAAAAAGAAAAGAAAAGAGCAGTCCACTGTATTCAGGTTAAATTCAAGAGTATGTAGTTCTAAGTAATAACTGGCTTATGATATCACATGTTAGTGATGGGATAGAGGAAATAAATAGAACTAGAAATTTTACATGGTACTTCAAGCTGAGGAGATAGAAATTCTGTTTTGTTTCATTTAAAACAAAAAGGGAATATGGGAAGGCCCAGTACATCGTGGAATGGATCCTTTGTGGCATATTTATGAATAGATATGAAAAAGAATTTGAAAGGATAGGCATGGTTGGAAAATGATGTTCAACAATGGAGGGAATACTCATATTTATGATGTCTTAGAGTCACTGGGTATTGGAATAGTTTTTTTTTGGCAATTTGTTGTTTTTGAAATTCTATTTTGTCATTTTAGATAGGCTTCAAAAAAGGGGGGGATCATAGAATATGAGAAATTCTCATAGGAATTCTTTACAGGAAAAAAAATATTTGTTTTAAATTTATAGAGATAGCAATTCACCCTTTATTTCTAGATGATCATTGGAAATTTTCACATATGATAATATGCAGATACATGTGGACTTCACACATCCTTTCAAAAATTTCTGCATAGAAAAAGTCAGGCATTCCTTTACTTCTGTCCAAGACATATTTTTTGCACATCTTCCTAATGGTGCCAGGAACTTATTTTGCTATTATCCTGAAGGTATGCATCACTATATTTTATTATAAAAATGTTGGGAGTGAGTACATACCAATATTGCTTTGCATTTTTATAGCTCCTTTCATCTAAGTATTTTACAAGCAAATAATAACCTTATCCCTTTTTTTCTGTCTGGGAAATTGAGGCATAGAGAAGTTAAGTGATTGGACAAGGTACCATAACAAATTGCAACAAATTCAAGAATGAAAACCAAGAACTTATGATTGCCAGTCCAGTCCTCAGACCAATGAATATCACCCCTTTCTGTGCGACACATCACTACACCTGCAAAACTCCTTGGCACAGGGTATTTTTGAAGCAAATGGCTAAATTGGAAATTTTTTTTAGAGGATTAGATTTACTGTTTATGAATGAAAAAGGCAGCTGCAGTTACATTAGCGAAAAAAGCAATTACAAGGCCCATCAATTCTCATGCTTCAGAGCCTCATCTGCACACCAGCTGGGGGTCAAGGAAGAATTCTTCTCTTGGTAGAGTTGTGTATAGTGATTCTGGAATTATTCAGGTAATGTTGCAGAGGAAATGGAATTCTAGATTATCTGTTTCTGCCAGCAGGTGGTTGTCACAGTGACAAAATCACTGGTTTTGGAATCAGGAGATCAAGTTATTTGCTACCTGTGTGACCTTGGACAAAATACTGAACCTCTTTGGTTTTCACTTTTCCCATCTGTAAAATTGTACTAGATAATTGTTCAGGTCTCATCCAGATCTAATTTAAATTTACAGTTTAATTTATATTCCACTGTATAGAATGTAAGTCTCTTGAGGACATGGACAGTTTCATTTTTTTAGGTGTTTTTATACCTAGTACAGCAAGTGCCACACAGTAGGTGCTTTAAAATGGTTTTCAAATGGAATTGGAATTACCTTTTACCTAGATTTGACTGTTAGAGCCTGAAAGTAAGGGGAATAATTAACTGACTTCCTGACATTTGTTTGAGCCTATTAATAAAGTCTTTTTGTAGACTTTATTTTGTTGAATATTTTGACTACATTCACTAAAAAAGAATCTTTTTGAACTCATCATTCCTCTGGCCACAAATATACAATGAATATTGTATCTCCTTTATGCCAGAATTTTTAAGGATCTTTCAAATTTGCCTCCACCCTAGTCATCCAATCTTTTCCCTTATACCTTCCCCAAAATGTACTTTCCATTCAGGTGATGGTAGGTCTAACACCCTTCCACTATGTCCCAGCCAGGTGATTTTGCTTATGCTGTCCCTCCCCAGTATCTTTTCCCTCCTCACTTAGCTAAAAACTACTCATCCTTCAAGTAGGAACTCTAGTGCAACCTCATCCACAAAGACTTCTTTCAGTCCATGCTGATCTGTTGAGTTTTCAAAGGGTTGTAAGATCATAGATTTAGAGCTGGAAGGGACTTTAGAGGTCAGTTGAGCTAATCATACTCATTATTTTGTAAATGAGAAAACTGTGGTTACAAATGACAGAGCAGTCAAATTAAGTCAACAAGCATTTATTAAGCACCCACTATGTGCTGGGCACTGACTGAAAATATGAAGAAAGGCAAAAAACAGTCCTTGCTCTCAGGGAATTCACAGTCTAATGGAGGCAACATGCAAACAACTATATAAATAAGATTAGCAGTGGATAAATTGGAGATAATCTCAGAAGGAAGGCAGTAAGATTAATTGGGGACTAGGAAAGGCTTCTTGCAAAACAAAACAAACAAACAAAAACCTTTTGTCTAGACTTGAAGAAAGCCAGAGAAACCACTGAAGGGGAGATGAAGAAGTAGATAGTTCTGAGGCTTGGGGGATAGCCAGGGAAAACGCCTGGAGTCAGTAGACTGGGTATTCAGTGTAAGGATTAAGAGGTATGCCAGTGTCATTAGAGTGCAGAATATGTGGCAGAAAGGGGAAAGTAAAGTATTAAAGGGACTTGTAACTTAAGAAAAGGCAGGTTTAAAAGCCAAAGGTCCTCTTTCTCCAGATAGTGTTCTTTCCACTGTGTTCTTTCCACTGTACCTCCATCATTTTAATTCCATACAGATTCTCATTTGCACGAGATAATGTTACTTTAGTTTTACTAACCAGGTTGTACCTTGAGGGGAGGGATTGCATGGTTTCCTGATCTGAACTCTCTTCTCTTAATTGTTCAGTTACACACAATGTAGCACTTATGGTTTTCAGCTAGTTTTGTTTGCTACTTTTGTCACCACAAAAGTGCAACAAGGCAAAGACCACTTCCTAGAATTCTTTTGTACACACACACACACACACACACACAC